GGAATATGTTGTTGACAAATTTAATATAAAATGTAGATGCTTAAAAGCGGATGAGAGAATTGATAATAAAGCGAAAAAAATCCATAAACAGATTCTTTTTCTTAATATATTCTACATTATTGCAAACAAAAACATAAATACAAACTCACAATAAATAACATTAACTAAAAAAATATTAAAGACCGTGCCAACTTAATTCCTGACGCCACCCTAGTTATTATATAAAAATTTCCAAAAAAGGGGGGTGCGTTCAAAACGCAGGTGCATTCAAATTTTAATCCCTATTTACAATACAATATTGTGAAGTGTATTTACAATATGATTAAATTAAAATGATTTAGTATTACAATAACTTGAGACAAATATTATAATATTAAACAAATGTTGCAGTATTATAGAATTTATGGTTTATACGTTTACAGACTCATCACAAAATCAATTCTGAATTATTAATTGTTACAAAAAAAAATAAATAAATTTCTCATCACCAAGAATACCATCATACGAATGTATTATTACAGAGATTATATCATAGTAATCTATCGTTTAAAATAAAAATTAAAAAAAAAATTCCATTATCAAATTTATTGTTACAAAAAAAAAGTATTCTTATCACCAAAGCCTATTGTTATTACTAAAAAATCGATAGAACTATTACTTAAGTATTAGAATGACGCCAGTTAGTACCAGGAAGCAAAAAAAAAGTAAATTTTTTTTATAACCGGAACTAACTATTACCTGTCTCTTATACACATCTAGATGTGTATAAGAGACAGTATTAATTCTTTTTTTAAAATTAAAAAATAAAAAATAAATTAGAGGACGTGATCATTTGACGATTAGTTCAATCTTTGTTTTTCTCATTAGTTACGTTATAAGACAAGTACAAGATGATGATGATTTATTTAAAAGTATCAAATTTAATGTTAATGAATTTGTTGGAAAGGAATATGTTGCTGACAAATTTAATATACAATATAATATCTGTCTCTTATACACATCTAGATGTGTATAAGAGACAGATGTAATTCGTTCAATTATTGAATGAGAAAGTAATAATTTTATTATAAAAGAAATTATTAGAAGATAATACTTCCTTTTTTCCAAAAAATCCATCAGTTTCAAAATGGATTCCTGATTTTACATCTGGTGATGTAGTTAGGTTTACAGGAAAATTTTTCTCAATGAGGAACCTCTTCATGATGATATTTTGGAGGTAATTTTAATTTATTATTTATGTAAAAAAAATAATAACACCCAAAGAAAATAATTATTAATTCTTTTTTTAAAATTAAAAAATAAAAAATAAATTAGANATGAGAAAAATAAATAAATATCTGACTATTTCATATAATTTATTTATAATGAATTTTTAGCATGTTAAAAATTAGAATCTTTTTAACAGGAACGAATACTTTCACTTTTTGAGAATATAATGTTTATATGAATCAAAAATATCACATGAACCAAATTGATTAACTGCACATCTTGTATATATTTATTAAAAATTGAAACATCAAAGCGTTTTTTAAAAACTCGGCATGACACGATCACTTCACCACTCCGATCCCTCCAACCTCACAAATATTGGACTTCTCATTAAATAAAAATGAATGATTACGGCTAATTGTTTATATGAATTTTTTGAATATTTAGAGGAATATGAAACATTTTACATTCAAATTTGTTTTGATTATCTTTGGTGTAAGAGTTCTGCGAAAATTTAGCGGAGATATTATTTGGAAATCCTGGAAGCTTTTATCAGCAAAATTCATTGAAGGTGACAACATCAATTCCGAGTACATTAATCGCTTGTATTTCAAACTTAAAAATCCTGATACTTGCCCTAATAACTGGAACTAAATATAATTAATTGACTTTATGAAAAACGTTTAACCTTGTCGGACCATTTTCTGAATACCATTTTCCTGAATATACCTTTTCCCGAATCCAATTTTCTGAATGCCTATTTCCAGAAATTGATCATTTCCTGAAACTCTATTTTACCGAATGCCAATTTCCCGAATCTCAATTTCTGGAATTATATGAAGCATCCAATTTCCCAAATTCTTTTATCCTGAATTATTTTACCCCAAATTCCAATATCATGAACCCTGATATTCTGAATGGACATCTTACTGAATTTAATATTATCTTGTATAATTTTACATCATAAATTAGAATTATTAATTTCATAAACCCAACCTTTATTTTATTTAGTATACTAATCAATAAATTATATATAATGTGTATAAATATAATACTGCATGTAATAAACTAACTTGTATTAAAACAAATACTTAAAATAAATAATGTAATCCAAAAATCAATGTATATGGATATTTGTATACAAAAGAAAAAAATATAAACCAAAGATATTATTGGTCTTGTGAGTTCAGAAAAAAGTATGGCTGCAGTGGAAGAGCCATGACTAACTTAGAGGGTGAGGAACACATATTGATAAGTACTAAAGAACATATCATACACCTGAAGCTAACAGACGGAGTCGATGTAGTCAAACACTTGATATAATAAAGGAATATTTTTAATGCTTTCTATTGCAACAAATTGATGTGTCATAGTATGTAAAAGTAATAAATTAGTGTAAAATTTGGTGTTTTTATATAGATAAAGTTGTTCATTTAGTAATTTTCTATTCATAATGCGAAATTAAGAATGTTTAGTAACATACAGTTAGTTTAATATTACAAAAAGTTGAATTATATTAATAAATCTCTAATAAATTTTACAATTGTTAACATTATATCTGCTTATAATATATTTGAATAATAAAACTTAGTTTTTTATTTTTTAAATTTATTATATAGTTTATTTATAAATCATACGAAAATATACAGTTTATTATATAATTCAAGAAATTGTCCATTCGGAATATTAGAATTTGGAATATTGGAATTAAGGATATTTGAATTCGGGATATTGGGATTCAGGATATTTGGATTTAGGATTCGGGAAATTAGACTTCAGGACATGGGATTCGGAAATAAGGATTCGGGAAATTGTATATTTCAGGAAAATGTTCAGTTCGGAAAATTGGCATTCAGGCAAATGACTTCGGGAAAAGATATATTCAGGAAAAAGGCATTCAGGAAATCGTACTGTAACCTTTTTTCATAAGTTGATATTAAAAAAAACGCTAAAACGGCATTTTTTTCGTAAAATGATATGAAAATGCCATTTCGGCATTTTTTTCTTAAGTTAATATGAAAAAATGTCATTTTGACGTTTTTTTTTTATAAATTGATATGAAAAATGCCGAAATGGCATTTTTTTTTCATAAGTTGATATTAAAAAAAACGCTGAAATGGCATTTTTTCGTAAAATGATATGAAAATGCCATTTTGGCATTTTTTTCTTAATATGAAAAAATGTCATTTTGGCGTTTTTTTCATAAATTGATATGAAAAATGCCGAAATGGCATTTTTTTCCATAAGTTGATATTAAAAAAAAACGCTGAAATGACATTTTTTTCATAAAATGATATGAAAATGCCATTTCGGCATTTTTTTCTTAGGTTAATACTAGCCGTAACCCGTCGCGCTGCGCCAGAATATATATTGAAAAGAGAATTCTAGAAATTTTGTTACTTTTATAATACTAAATTTTGTTTGTAATTAGAAATTTGAAGAATTGAAATTCAAAATAAAATAAATAATAAAATTAAATAAAATAAAAATTTAAAAAGTGTAAAAAAAGCCTAAAAAAGAGTTCTAAAAGGTAGGCAGTACCCTCAGAAAAAATTTTTTTATATAGAAAAATTCTTTTACACATTAAAAAATTTTTTGCGTGTTAATAAGAAAGGTGTAGATTTGATTTAATATTAGACTAAGAATTTAGAGGACATTTTATATAGTAATTTATATTTACAATATGATTATTATATTAGAATAATACATTATATTTATTAGTATAATACAACTATTTATATTTGAATGATATAAATTATATTTACAATATTTACAATACAATAATGTGAAGTGTATTTACAATATGATTAAATTAGAATGATTTAGTATTACAATAACTTGAGACAAATATTATGATATTAAACAAATGTTGCAGTATTATAGAATTTATGGTTTATACGTTTACAGACTCATCACAAAATTAATTCTGAATAATTAATTGTTACAAAAAAAAATAAATAAATTTCTCATCACCAAGAATACCATCATACGAATGTATTACAGAGATTATACCATCGTTTAAAATAAAAATTTATATCAAAAAAAAAAATTCCATTATCAAATCTATTGTTACAAAAAAAAAATTCTTATCACCAAAGCCTATTGTTATTACTAAAAAATCGATAGAACTATTACTTAAGTATTAGAATGACGCCAGTTAGTACCAGGAAGCAAAAAAAAAGTAAATTTTTTTTATAACCGGAACTAACTATTACCAATTAATATTAGTAAATGTCAGTTACCGAACATAAAGAAAGGGCAAAGTCCTCTATTGTTGGAAAAAAAAATTTAAAAAAATAAAAAAAAATTTCTTATGAAAAAAAAAAAAATACTGAATGATCTATTAAAAATAAAATAAAATACTGTATGTAAAAAAAAAAATAATAAATAAATGAAAGAAAGGCCTATTGTTATCAGGGAGATACAATATGATCGAAAAAAAATTATCATCAAAAAAAAATTTACCGAAGCTGTAGAAAAAAAAATGTCCCTCCGGTCTATTGTTATCGGGAATAGAATTTTTCTATCATTGGGGTGATGATCACCGGTGACTGAAATTATGATGATCGACCAGCATTAAAAAATATAGTGCCGGTAAAAATTGATAATTCTGGCCAACGGTGATGATAACCCTTGGTGATTTGAAGTAAAAATCAAAAAAAAATTTGAAAAAATGCTTTTAAAATATTACTAAGAAAAAATCGGGAAAAAAATCTATAAAAATTACTAAAAGAAATTATTATCGATAAAGAAAAAACATTACTAAAATTAAAATAGAAAACAAATCAGTAATAAGAAAAATCATACTAAAAATACTAAAAAAAATAAAATTCTTAGAATTTAATAGTATTTTTTAATATATTAATTAAAATAAATAAAGGAATAAACTAAAATCGGACTATTTAGAAAAAAAGAATAAATATTAGTAACCGAATATTTCAGGTCAACCCGACTGCTGGTCAATGCATTTTTTTCAATAACTGATAATTGATACGAAAATGCCATTTCGGCATTTTTTTCTTAGGTTAATATGAAAAAAATATCATTTCAGCAGTTTTTTTCATAAATTGATATAAAATGCTGAAACAGCATTTTTCCTAATTATAAATTCCACAGCTCCCCATGAATGATGGACTCTTGTTTAATAAAAAGATCTAAATTTTTTTTTTATTTCAGTTTTTTTTTCGATAATAAAATAAAGGAGGTTGTGAAAAAAAAATCTATTTTGGAATTGCTTTTTAGAACTTAGAAGCATGATTTATTTATTGTTATTTCAGCCACATCATCTTGAGATTTTGCGTAACATGTGTTAATATATAAATTCCATCGATTCGCAAGGAGAGTGGGCGTTATACTCTTAGATTTAGGTTTCATTATTCTTATTCTTAAATCCAATAATCTTTTTTTTTCCGGTTAACAAACAAAAACTTTATTAATAAAATTATTTAGAAATTACAAATATGCCTTTAGTTTGATACAAATTATAGCAAAAAAAACTATATAAACAAAAATACTAAACTAAATATTTAGGATATGCCAATAAATTAACATACCCCCAACAAACCAGATTAATAAAATAAAAATTAAAAGGACAAAAGAAACTATCTACAAACTCACCCTATCGGGCAAATAAACACGAAAATAATAATAAAAATAATTAATAAGGATGACATATATTGTAAAATCCAAAGGTCCCATGTTAAAATATATCCCATTTAATAAACCTTTTACTTTTCTATAGGTTTTATTCGCTTTATTGTTAATTTTCTTCTTGTTTTAGTCAATAAATTTGTGTGAAAATTTTTTTTAAGTAAGATTGTTTTTAATTATATGGATATATAACAATATTAATAATTTTGTAATTAAATCTATAATAAATTTTTTGATAAATCTATATAAATAAAAAATTTGTCTGACATTTGGATTAGTCTCCATAACTTGAAATCCCATGCCATATAATTAAAACCCATGACATGCCTCTACCTGATCTATTTATGGTCAAGAATTATTCAATCCATATGAACTAATCCAATTTCAGTTAATGAAATTTTACCTGAATTTTTTTTTGATTATTAATTTTTTTGTCCAGAAAAACGTTTGATTTTTTTTATATTATTTTTTTGATTTTTTTTATTATTTTTTTTTTTTTGGTCAAAATGTTGTCCTTTATTTTCAGAATTTTTTTCGGTACTTATTTTTTTTCGAATTCCCTTTTTTTGGAAATTTTCCTTTTTTAAACTGATTTCTTTCTTTATCCTTTCTTTCCTCCCAAATTTTTTTTTTATTTTTTTTTTCTTTTTCCTTCAATTTTTTATTATTATTAAATAAAGAAATAAAATATTATATTAAATATATTTACAAAATTATTATTTTTTTAAAAAAATCAATATAGTATATAGGAAAATTGACTGACATTAATAGAAAGATGATTAAGATTTTTCAATTAAATTAAATGCTGGATAAATAGTTTATATGTTTGCAAAAAAAATTTTTTTTGTAGTTTAGCTGATCGAAAATTAGCTAAGTTTGAAAAAATCAGCCGTCAGCCGATTAATAAATTTAGTGAATTTACTCTTTATTATATGATTGTACATCATGTGACATTTAAAAAAAACTCAGGCGACAATCGCCCAGGCAACGTTTAGCAATTCCCAATTATATTTACAATAATGTAGTTATTTATATTAAAGATTTAACGTTTAAGTGTAGAATGAAATTCATATTAATTAAGGAATTGTGAAAAAATAATTATCAATAAGAATTGATGAACTTTCTAGAAGTATTTTCGAAAAAACTTTAATGTTGTGAAAATCATACTACAAATATTTTTAAAAAAATTTATGTAAAAAAAAATAATAACGTTTATTAAATAATTGTTATAATCGAAAAAAGTCAAAAAGTATTTATAAAAAAAAATCAAATAACAAAAAAAGTGTTATAAAAAAAAAATCAAATAAAAAAAAATCAAACAAAAAAAAAGTCAAAAAAAAATTACGTAAAAAAATGGGTTTAGTCTATAAAAAAAATATAACCTATCCGACCTTCTTAGGATCGATGATCAAATGATTTAAACAAATGATCTAATTTTGGTAACAATATCAATTCGGAATTCATACCTTGAACTTACCGATATTAACCTAAATAATCTAGAAAATAAAGAGCAAACTATTTATAGATGCTAGTCTAAACGTTACGATTTTTTCATGTATTTTTTAGTTATATAGATTCGAAAATAAAATGCTATACATAATTATAAGTTAATATTTAGGACGTACTAAAACTTTCATTTCAGTGCATTCATAAACAGATGTAAATTGGATTTTCGGTTCTTTTGATACATTATCAACCAATTCGACATCATACTTTCTAAATAACAAAATCAACAAGGTTTTCAATTCTGCCATGGCCATATACCTTCCTGGGCACATTCTTGTACCACCTCCGAAAGGAATAAAGGTATTCTTAGCAATTTCATTATTAGTTTCTTTCAAAAATCTTTCCGGAATGAAATCATCAGGGTTTTCCCAAAATTCAGGTGATTTATGAATTAATTCATGAAGAATCAAGAACTTTGTATTAGCTTCCAAATGTTTTCCTCCAATAATACTCTCTTGTGTTGAATTACGTGGTGAAATTGGTGTAAGTGTTATGACTCGTGTGGATTCTTTCATAATTGCGTCAAGGTATGTAAATTTTTCTAAATCTTCGTAGGTTATTTGTCGTGATATATCTTCACCTAGTATTTCACTGATTTCTTCTCGAAAACGTGCAATAACTTTAGGATGCTTAACTAATAGCCAGACTGCGAAGCAGAATGTATTTCCAGTCTAATATAGCAATAAATTATTTTATTTAAATAAATTATTTAATTGAAAGAAATTATATTTTTTAATAATTTAAAATATAAACTTACCGTATCTATACCTGCTATACTGACTTCCGTAATGATTGCACAAATTTCTTGGTCAGTTAATGGAGGTTCACTTTCATCATACCCGCTAGGATCACGTGGAGTATGTAACGTCAATAAGATATCCAACAAGTTTGAACCAATCATTTCATCACTTTGCATATTATCAATCTCCTTTCTTCTTTTAATGATAACATCAAGCATAGTTTCAGTCAACCAATCACTATTCTTTGTTCAAATGATAAAATCCTGGAAAATAATTTTTTAATACTTCAGGAATGAAAATTTGAAATAACACGTTTGTTAAAAAAGTTTGAACGGCTTTAGTAAAATAAACGGATCTTTTGATTTCTTCAGATCTAACCGGATCGTCATGATTTTCGCCGAACAAGTACGTATTAAGACAATAAGAAGGCTTGCAAGTAATAGTTTGTAAGGTAATGTCTGTTGTGAAACATTTTATCCATTTAGCAAAATCAATTTGATATTCCTTTTTATCCCAATAACTTTAAATAATGATTGTGCAAGTTGGATGAAGCTTTTAAGAAATCTGGGAGTCATTAATGATTGTACAACAAATTTTCTATTTCGTTTCCATGTTAAGGGTCATCATTAAATATTAACCCATTTGATTTCACTTCTTGGGAAAAAAATAGTTTTTGTGTTTGGAGCATAAATTTGATGGATTAACGAGGGATGAGAAAGAACAACGAATCTATTACTTCCAACCCAAATTTCGTACATGTCACCATATTTTTTACGATGTTCCTTTGCATATTGTGCTGGGTTTAATCTGATTTGATGTAAATTACAAATTAATGGAAGTGGAAATGGACCGGGAAGTGGTGATTTACGTGTAAAATATTTGTAATAATATTTTAATACATATAGAAAAATTAGTGCTTTGATAATTGTTATCAAATCTACCATTGACACTATTGACGCGAATGACATTGTTTTATGAAAATTTTTTTTTTTTTTATTGTGGAAAAATGAAAAAATGAATATCAATTACGAAAAGTTTATCTTCAAATTATTAATCCTTGTTAACGATTATTTATATTATTTACAAGAATAAAAATTATCCCCTTTCGCATTCCTTTTTTGTATTTATTTTTAATAGTATGCTAAGCGTTTTGATATACTAGGGAGTAAGAAACATACATAAATATTTAAGAATTTATTTTTTATTGTATGTCAGGGTAATATATTATTCGAAATGGTTAAAAATTAATTATTACTTTTTTCATGTTCACAAAATGAAACGATAAGTAATATCACGAGTTTTCATTTTCCAAAATAAATTATGGAGTCGGGAGTCGGGACCTCGGCTCAACCGTTTTTGATTTGCAAGCCGCGTGATTTTTTTTTTTGCTAGTACAATAGTGGATCCAGCTATTTTTGTGGAACGGCTATCTCCAAAAAAGAAAATGATCGACTTACAAGTCATAATTCTGGTCGGAATTATAAATTTGGCCTGAATAATCCCTGGGATATGATAACTTAAGATATCCGGGTAATATCCGGGTTATATACGGATGAATTATCTGGATATCCAAATTAACGGATAAATGCAATAATCGGATATCCGAATGGACGGATGCGAACTCTATAATTAATTTATTGAATTCAAATCAAAGAATTTAAAGTTTATATTTTCATGTGATTAAGTGGTTTATTTGAATAAACTTGCATGTATAACGAAAATCTAAAATGGGGAAGCTAAGAATTTCCAGATGTCCATTTTTTGAGTTTAAAAACGATGTAGTCTTTTTAATAATAAAAATAATGTAATTACCTTAACAGTAAAATTATTAAATTTTCCTCTTACATTTCTTTTCTAACTTTTCTTGTATATTTTTCTGATATTTTTCCACATTTTATTACCGTATATAGCGGGCCACTGACAGTACCCGGGTATCTTGCAAAAATCAGGGGTTTGACTCTGTACCCCCAGGTACTAAACAAAACTTAAAAATTCCGTTTTTTGCGAATATCTCACGATCTTCCGGTCCAATTTGAGCCATCTTTTTTTATTTTGAAGAGCTCAATGAGCTCTATCAAACAAAAAAAAAGATGGCTCAAATCTGATCACTGGATCACGAGATAATTGTAAAATACCCCCGGGTACTATACAATTCTATGAAATTTTTCAAGAGGGGTACTATACATAAGGGGGGTACTATGGCCGGTATTTTTTTTTTACTTACACTAAGAATCGAACTGCATAACAGCACTGTAAAAATGTAGGTAATTTTTAGATGAAATTCAATATACATGTGGTGATACTTTTTATGATATATCTAGTTCTAAAGGTATAAATGCACAAAGTCCTCATAGCACAGATAACTTCTTAAAAAAAATATTTTTTATTGTTAAAGTTAATAATACTTTAACATGTAATAGTCCTATTGAAATTCCATATTATTCAAGTGGTTAACTGTGAGGCAGAATGTGAAGAAGAAAATAATTATGGAGAGTATTTTCCATATTGCGAAGATTGTAGTGCATCAGTTGATGATAAAAGAGGAGTAAAGAAAATAAATTTGTAAAGTCAAGTAGACGTAAAAATGTTTAAATTACTATTCATAATATTAATTAAGATTTAACCAATAAAATCACTTGAAATCACGTGAAAAATAATTTTACATATAAAATTTTTTGGTCAAATTTTGAAAAAGTGACCCATGAACCAAACATATTAGTTTGCTTGGCCTTATATGATGATCAACAAGATCAACAAAATCAAGAAATTAACGGAAAAGACCATCAAAAAAGATCACTATGGAAATGTTTTTCAGAATTGTAATATTGAAATCACGTAAATCACGTGGGTCGTCGTTACTGTTGATTGATCACATGCAATTGATTTTTTAAAGTTTATTTATGCGTCGATCGATTTAGCCCTACTGCTGATCAAATATCGGTCAAAGGATTCCTGAAGATTAATGACATGTGTGATCTAAATTTGGTTAATAATCTAAATAATTGCATACTCTTTTATTTATTTGTCACATTCGGATTCTATATTCCTTAAATAAACATATAATAGAAGTCTTTGTAGATATTGTACTTTCTGTATATATAACATATTGAGTTTGATATCTTCCTTCATGTGAAATCATGATTCTAAAATCATTTTAGTGTACGTACTGTAAAATTATGCTCACTCCTTAATTCAAGCGTAAAGTATAACGATAAAGCAACAAAGGAAATTATAATTATAAAAGTAAATAATACTTATTGTGCCAAATCCTTTTATTTAGATAGACTGATAAATTAATAATACAAATTTATAATTAATAAAACGATCGAAGAAACGATTGAAGATAGGATTGAGGGTAAAGGTGAAATTAAAGAAAAAAAAAAAAATTGAAAAAGCTGAAATTTGAGATAAAAATGAAATTGAAGATATAACTGAATAAAATGCACAAACTCGCGCTTCCAGTTAATAAAATTGGAACTTTCCACCAAACAAGAAAAACTTCCATTAAGATTTTTTTATTTTTGTTGTACTGTATATTTATTTTTTTTTTCTTTATTTGCATTTTTAATTCAAAAATAATTTTTTTTTAAAAAAATAATTAAACTATTTACAACACGGGCAATGATTAGTATTATTAGACATTAAAAATATAATATTTTACATAATAAATAAATCGTAAGAATATCTCAAATTACGAATCCTAAATAATGATGATTAAACGTTTTCGTTTAATTTTACTAATTAGCAAAAAAAAAATTATGGAATCATACCTACAAATAACGAATTTAAAATTTTTTTTGTCGATATAAAGAGTTTTAGCAAAAATAAATGTTTTTATGTTAATATTTAATAATGAATACATTGTAAAAATTAAGTAACAATTAATAATTTTATTAATACATAATAATTTTTTTAACATTGTTTTATTGTAAAAATTATTTCTTAACATAATAAGTGTTAGGATAATGAATACCGAGATAATGAATGTCAGGAATAATATGGTTACAGGATTTTGAAGTTACGGAATTATAATTTGTCGGGATTTTGAACGGCTCCCTTTGAGGATTAGAATGATAGTCTCCGTATAAATAAATTGAATTATGTAATGTGTAAGTCCCAATGACCAATCAGACAGTAAGATTGGTATCCTTTTAAAAATAAGAAATATGATCAATACCATTATTAACAATGTAAATTTGGAGAAAAAGAAACCTTCATTATAATAGTACGTACTCCGTTCGCATGAAAGAAAAATAATTTAGTATTCTTTAATTTAATTTTAGTAATTCATTGTAAAAAAGTATATCCGTTTTTATATTCTATCTTTTTTTCCGTAAAAGGCTCGTATTTCCGGAATTAATAACCTTATATCCCGGAATTTATTTCCGTGAATGGAACCGTGAAGGCTCATTTTTACAGAGTTTTACAGAAATGACGGATAAAATTTTTTAATTACTTTCCAAATAAGTTTTCAAACAACATGCTTGCTTCGTTCATATGCAGACGTTTTTTTGTTCTAAGTTCTATTAAATTTGAAGAATTACAATGGCTGTTTCACGTGATTGTGCTTTCTTGGCATTTTGTCTAAACATAATCAAAAATGTATCACCGCGTTATTGAAATCCGCAGCAAATCTATAAATAGCTTAAGAACAAAGAATATTTCTATTTATCATATAAAATTCTAGATATTGAACCATTCTAAAAACTTTGTAAAAAAATACATGTAAATATTTGAGGATAGTTCTTAAGAACAGTTTCGAAGTATTATATTTATTATTAAAAATTAACAATAGAATATTTAATTCAAACGTCACTAACATAATTAATTAATCGGTGTGATACCTGTAAATATTTAAGTTCATTTTGATAATGATACTTAAATGTATCTGTCTTTGTCTCTTATTTTACATTAGCGCAACAGCAGATAAGATATCTAGAAGTGTTAAATATTAATATAATGTATATTTAGCAAATGCTGTACATCATTTATTATCTTACTATAATTGTAACGTATTGATAAGATTAATACATTTAGTGTCAATAATAAAGATTAGATAAGTCTGATTCTTATTTTTAATAATAATTTTTTTTTCCTAATTGTTTTTTTTTTTTGCTAATTTTTTTCGGTTTTCACCTTTTAGGTTGAAAGGCCATTGCCGTAATATACTGTAATCACATTTTTTATACTTGAATAAATATGTTTCGTATGATTTTTTTTTTTTTAGTCAGAACCAGTGTATTCAGCCAAAAAAAAAAAAAATTAATAATTTATTTGTTTAAATCAAATTCTTTAAATTACATATATAATATAATAAGTAGTTTAGAGTTTTAATTTATTCATAATTATTAATTATATTAATTATTTAAAAAAATTATCTAACATCTAAATTTCTAAATATAAGTCAAAAATTTTATTATTATATTGGTCTAAACTCATTAATCCTTTTGTAACGCAACAGCTAGTAAACAATAAATTATTTTTTAAATTTTTTGAAGATCGGAATAATGAGTGCCGGGAATTTGAATTTTCGGAATTAGGATTGTGAACGTCGAATTTGTATTATAACGGGATTCTAATCATCAGGATTTCGTAGTAAATTCCATCTGGAGTATTTAACAAAACCGTATTATACTAATTTTTTCGTGTACTTTAACATATGGGACCTTTTCCATAATACCTCCAAAAACAAAAGGACCGGTAAAAAGCCACAAAAGAAAAGAGTATTTTATTTTGATCATTTATTTGATAATAGAAAAAATCAATAAAATTTAATAGAACTTTATTAGTGTTAACGTTAATACAGTATTTATTATAAGTTTAAAATTTATACACAGGTAAATATACCTTAAAATTGTCGTTTAAACTCTTATTGGCTTATTTGACCTTTAAGTAGAGCTGTAAAGCAGCAAAATACATATAGAGAAAAGAGAGAGAAGAAAGTAAGAAGAAAAGAAAACAAAGAAATACAGATCAAATAGAAGAAAGAGAAATTCCTTTAAAAGCTCTAATGAGAAAATCTGAAAAATTTTTATCACGTGATAGCACGTTCGGCGAGCGTAAAAATGTCCTCTTTACAGAATAATAATCAGGCAATAAGTCGAAAATCTTATAATAAATATAATAAGTAAAATAATAGCAGATATCACAATAATTTTGCTTAACAAAATAAATCAAAAATGTTATAACCCATGTAAATAAAGAAAATAAAATATAAAATATTTAAGATGAAACAGTTCTTAAGAGATATAGAAGGTCAGGGATTATTCTGATCATTAGGAACTCCGTCATATACCATATCTTGCATATTATCAAAAATATTCCCAGTTGAAGTCGTCTCCAAATACACTTGGGGAGTAGGTTGAGATCTCATAATATCAAAGGGTTGCTGAACTCGTTGCTGAATCTGTTGTCGGACCAAAGACTGTACGTTATAATGATGCGGAAATTGATAATCAGGAATATGAGATAGATTAATGCTATTATTTAAGAGTCGAATGTTTTCTGAAGGATGCAATTCGGAATATGTAACATGAAAGATACGTGTATCATTTGGTAAATGAAAATAAAATTCAAATATAGTATTTTGAGTCATAGAAGTTGCAGTATTAAGAGTATTAAGGGTGTCAATAGTATCATGTAAGGTGTTTAAATTTATATTGGGTATTTCTACGTTGTCATTATTAATTAAAGTATGCTGAATGATTTCATTGCCACGATTATCAAGAACTTGTAAAGGTGCGAAGCTATTTTCAGTCTTATTCATTGGAAAATCAGAATAGTCTTGTGTGGTATGATTCATTGGAAAATCAGAATAGTCTTGTATGGTATGACTCATTGGAAAATCAGAATAGTCTTGTATGGTATGATTATTCGAATCCATGTTTACAAAATAACCTAAAAAATTTTTTTTTTTGAGAAATTTTGAAAATTAGATCTATTTTATTGTGCTTTTATATTCATTTTTAGCTCTTTTCTTTTTTTTCAATTGAGTAAATATTTGTGTTGAATATTTGTGTGATTAAGAGTAATTACACAGTGAAATTCGATATACCGGAACCTCGATATAACGGACCATAAGTAAAATCTTGATATATCTGGTCTGGAACGAATTATCATAACATATAATTTATTTACCTCGATATAACGGAATTTTTGATATAACGGATTTTTGACAAATTTACTAATGGAATGGATGGTTCCATTATATATATCGAATTTTATAGTGTATTTATATCACAACGATGACACGAACTTTAATCCGTGATATAAATATATATATACTGTGTTGATCCGAAAAAAAATGCACATAGTTGATTGTGTAACGTAATAATGTGCTTAACGGGCGGAAAGTAATTGATTGGTTAATCTATTATGAGAATATTGTACAGTACAATCATAATAACAATCAATATAGGTTAAAGTATTTCTGAAACTGAAGAGAAGGATCAATGTAAACAAAACTATAGATTAAGAGATCTAATTCTTTACATTAATTAATAAGAAGAATAATTAATTTAATTTTTTTCACATTGAAATTATCATATCTACCGATGTGCAAATATATTAATTTAATAAGCGTGCACGAAAAAATTATATATTTTGATATTTTATTATTTAAGTCAGTTCAAATAAAAGCTTAAACATCCAATGATATATTTTCATGAAAATGGGTGATGTCAACTACTGGGAATACAAATCGTGAAGGCGCAAAAATAATATTCTTTATTTAAAATTCGCCAAAAATAATTAGACATTCGTGAAGGTTTAATACAAATTATCCTTGTATTACTATTGTAAAATTGGTATTACAGGTATTTCTTGTAGATCATTTAGATCATTTAAGGTTAATACTCGGGAACGTGATTAAAGCAGACAATTGTTTTTAGAATTGAAGGAAATTCTAAATAGAAAGTTGTTCGAAATTAAATATGAATAAAAACTTGAAATCTTCATGTCTGTTTATGTAAATTTTTATTTACACTATAAACTAAATCTTTCATTTTTCTCTCTGGCGCAAAATATGAGTCTTGACGCATAGTTTAACAAAAATATATCTAGTTCATTATATATAATAAAATTTATTTACTATTGGATTTTTTCTTGTGGTCGTCATATTGGACTAGCTATTAAATAAATTTTCTAAGAAATTTCCTACTATTACGATTGATGCAATTCCCACCTTAAACACTCTGAATTCTTATCATTATAAAACAATTAAAAAAAGGTTAGATTAATTTTGAAATACAAAACTTTATTAAGTAAAAGCTTATTTGAATTAATGCCAAAATCGATGTCAGGATTAAAAATTACATTCTATTAGATGTTATTGAATGCTATATTGTATTAACACTGAAATTTTTACAGAAAGAACGCTGGTTCCACAACTATTTAGACCAGCCCATGAAAATTAATATACAAATACTTCAATATTTGCTAAATAACTTTTTTTAAGTTTTTTGTTTATTTCCTTTAACTAAAGCATTCAAGTTACACTGAAAAGTAAAAAAAGACAAACCCGCGTCTTAATATTATTATAACTACTCATAATTTCAAGCTAGACTTACAAAATTAATATACAAGTATTTCAATACCTTATGAACAATTTTCCCTAGATATTTTTCGCCTGTTTAGTTTGACCAGAGTGCTAAAATTATATTGTGAATTCTCTATAATACAAAAATGTATTTGTATTGAAATTATCTACGAAAATATCCAAAACTTTATGTACTTCATACTTGAACCACTGTAAAAATGTATAACTTATTAATTACTGTAACAAACCTTTTAAAATTATTTTTTTTTAAAACGAGAAAAATAAAGAGTGAGAAAAATTATTATGACCCAATTTGACTGAACCAATAAAATTGTGGAAATGATCGGTAAATCACGTGCTCATGAGAGTTGAAACAGAATTTCTACGACCGTTCGATTTATTTACTATCCTTTATCGGGCGTGGTGAAGGGTAGAACGTCGGGTTCCCTTTTCTTACAAGCGAGGGTCTGGCTTTTAGTTAGATGACAATTGTATTTCCATAGTTAATAACTTTCTATTTGATTGTAAATATTTGTACTACATCACTTGCCCGCTTGACGTAAAATAAATATAATAAATAAAACCGTTCGATTTATCGAAATATAAATTATCGAGTCTAATAATTGAAATATGATCACATTTATTCTCACTGTGGCTTTCATCTATGAACGTTAGTCCTTATAAATATGATCTTATCTCTTCGATTTGTTCTCTTAGTACGTTACATTCGATCAAAGTTCATTGTTCAAAATCAAATAATCAAAAAAAAATTTAAGTATTTCTGAAAATGTAACAAGAGATTTCTTTGTAATATGCAAATAAAATATCATAACCGGACTTTTTCTCCATATACAGTAAATAAAAAGTAAGATAATATGTATACATAAATAGAGTATATAAGAATATATTGTTATATATTTATTTGCTCATCGATTTTTTTCATTCACATATTTACCTACTTATTTATATATATTAAAGGATGATGAATTCCTTACTTATTTTCTTAACTTTTCTTATTTATTATTTCATAGAAAGTTAAAGTAAACAAAATCATATATACTCAGGAGCGTTAAAATAACTAATTCTAATTAAAAAGAAAAATAATTAATTGCCGGTCTGGCTAAGATCGGCGCTCGCTGACTTGCATACCAAAAATTCGAGGCAACGTTTCGCACCCGATTGCTAATATATGCAATAAAACTCAAGGAAAGAATAAGCTAAACAATTGTACATTTATTATTATTAAAAGGGAGTTTATGCCATTTAATATTAAACGATCGATATTTTGTTAAAATCATACTATATATGTAAAAAAAATGCATAAGTTAAACATCAATATTGTAAAAAAATTTTATATTGTACGATCAAATTTCATAAGAGTTCTAAGACTCGATCCATGATGTACATAAAATTTTTCAATAATTATCTTTTGTTTTAATTTTAATTATTTTAATTTGACTGGAAATAGAAAATTGCGCTCCGAAAAAAATATAATTGAAAGTTCAAACTTATAATGTCTATTAAATTTATCATTTATTTATTGTGACATCATATAAGTATATACAATAAGAAAGCTCAGTCAAACTTATTATTTATTTATTTTTATTAAAGAAATACATCTAAACAAACAATTCATAGCAATTTTATAATAAATAAAATAAAAACAAATATCTCTATAATTTTGCCTAACGAGATAAATCAAAATGTTGTAATCCGAGTTCAAGAAAAAATAAAAGAATAAAAAAGAATAATATCTGATTTATTGAAAGATAAAGTAATTCTTAGGAAATGTAGTTAATCATGTCATATCCCGTATCCAGAAATATTCCTAAATGAAGTCATCTCCAAATCCATTTGGGAGATAGATTGAGTCTTTGTATTATCAAAACCTGTCAGTTGTCGATCAAAGACTTAGTTTCTTTATCTATCTTTAGGAGATAATGACGAACGTGGTGACAGATTTAATCTTAATAATTCAGCAATTTGCCCTATTTGCAAAGAGATCATAAAGAAAAAAGTATACGGAATAATATAGGTGAATGGAGTTCTGGTGAATATTGTGGAGAACGAACTTTTATCTCAATTGTTGGAATGCTCTTCAGGGCGGTATCCCAGTAGTATCTGTAAAATCATAAATCATAGATGAAAATTTCGTCACGTGGGTCCGATCGGGTTACACCAACCAGCCTAAAATTTAAAAAGGAAATGTTACATTACATTATTTTGATTTTAGAAAGTTTACGGCTTTACGCGTTTTCATTATGGAATTTTTTAGCGATGAGTCAACTGAGAAGTGGACGTGTAGTGAGGTCTATAATTACTACAGAAACAAAAATAAAGACAACAAAACCCTGAGTGAAGTGTTAATTAAAATCAGAGAAGACCCAAGACATTTCAGTAAAAAAGAACTAAAACTCATCTCCGCAAAAAAGCAAAAAAAAATATTCTTGATAATTGGGATGTAAGTATTGAGCTCGTGAATCAGAAAGTATTGTCCATTACAATCCGTAAAAGAGTGGTGCTTCTTTATTTTCAAGTTCCTGGTTTAAGATCTGCTGGTTCTGGAGGAGGAGGAACCTGCTACGTACCTTTCTTAAACATCAAACAACTTGTCTGTTGAAAGTCAACTCTTCTATTGTTGAGAGTACTGAGTGCAAACTTGTTTGGTCATATTTATGAACTGCTGATTCACGTCTCTTTTATTTCATTTTTTTAGAAATGGATAAGAAGCACTAAGAGAACTGAAAAACGAGCGAAACAACAGGAGAACTCCGATACTATCGATGTAGAAAGAAAGAATTGAAAAGGTTGTTAGTCCAATGACTAAATGTACTAACGACCTGAAAACAGAATTTCGTATACAAACAATTAAGTTATATCTCTGTCCAGAAAACGATGATTGGGACTACAAATATGATGCGGTTAGTAAAGCAAAAAGATATCTTAAAGCTGAACGCCACCTTACTCGAGCACAGGAGATCCTTTTGGGCAGTTCTACATGTAAGACAAATCAACCTCTAATAGTACCAGATACAGCTGAAGCATTAGAAACAGTAGTAGATATTCAACTGGTTCAAAAGCTACAAACTAAAGTCATCTCACTCCATATGACTGAACTTAGTAAGAATTCTTAAGATGAAGCTGTTCAATTTATAAGACATTATAATATTTTTATCATTAATTATTTGCGGTACATAGTATTAATTATAAAGAAAATTAAAATTTTATTCTTTATGTAGCTGTTAAGGTTTCGCTTTCTTAATCAACCCTATGAAAAAAGATCATCCAATTTTTGTGCAATATTTGTTCAAGTCCGTGCGGAAATCATACAATTATTGCAGTTTTTT